TTGGTATGTGGTGCTGAGGATCGAACCCGGGCCGCACGCATGCCAGGCGAGCGCGCTACCGCTTGAGCCACATCCCCAGCCCCTAGACTATTTACTTTCATAGTGGAAGTTTGAAACTCTTGAGACTGAAATTTCTTTAATTTTTGTCATTTTTGTTTACCCTCTCCCTAATTTTTGTCGTTTGTAGTAACTAAGTAGTCAGGTTACCTGCAGCTGACTTAGCTGAAGTTTTGGTCCTAGTCTGCACAGAAGGGTGAGTGAGTGTGCTGATGTTTTGGGTACCTGCTGAGTGTTGCCACTGTGTTGGGCTCTTTCCTTTAGTTTACTGAGAAGGAAGGGGTTTAAGGAACAGGCAGTGTAGGAGTGGCAGAGGTTGATTGAACCTAGAGGTGTTCTGTTCCTGGTGTCTACTGAAAAGATGGACGGAAGAGCCACAGGCAGCCAGAAATGAGAAAGCAGGACAAGCAAGTAAGACAAAATTGGGAGAGAAAACAAAATCCTAACTGAAGGGCAGGTGTAAGCAGAAGATACTTGAGACCAGAGAGTTAAAAAGTTGATGAATCTAGCTAATCAGGATAATAGTAGTGATTAGAACTTGGAGCCTCTGGAGGGTGGAGTGTCTGTTCTTGGACCCTTATTTCCTCCTGGCTCCTGGCCCTGGCAGCCAATGATTGCTTTTTGGAGAGGGAGTCTCTGAACAGAGCCTGGGAAGATAAGAGGGAGGCTGCCATGGGGAATGAGGCTCTGATGGATGAGCAGATCCCACTGGACCCTGCTTAATGGAATATGTCTGTTTCCGTTCTTGCTCAGCAGTCTGGGGTGTGTGTGTCTTGTCACTCTTGGCAGATTGAGCAGAGAGGACAGTGGTGGCCGTGAGGCTCAGGTTCTTGTGAGGCCAAGAAGAAATATAATATGTTCCTAAGAGACACGATCAGTTTGTGTCTCTAAAACCAAGTGGGCTGTTCTGGCCCGGCAACTTGAGCCCCTGGAGCTCTGGCGTTTGCAGCACGGCCTTCTTTTTTGGACTGACGCACACCCTCTTAGCTCACTTGAGTACCTTTAGGAGTTAAGTCCACAGTCTCTGTGTAATGTACTCCTGAGAATAGCAGGTTGGAGATGCTTCACTGTTCTAACTTTTCACCACTGTTACCAAAATACCTGACAAGGACAATGTAGAGGGGGACAAATTACTTGGGGCTCATGGTTTCAGAGGTCTCAGTCCTTGGTCGGCAGACCCCAAGATAGAATCTCATGGCTGAAGGGAGTGGCCAAGGAAAACTGCTTGGCTTATGGCTGGAGAAAGAAAGGAACCTTGGACGCGTATCTCTAGGCCACTTCCCAGGCCACTTCCCCATTGACCTACCTCTTCCCGCCAGCCCCACCTGCCTGCAGTTACCTCCCAGGAGTCCATTCACAGTATTAGTCTGTCAGGAGGTGTGGTGGAGGGTGCCAGTTATCTCAGCAACCTGGCCAGCTATGCTGGAGGATCGAGAGTTTGAGGCCAGCCCAGGCAACTTAGCAAGACCCTGTCTCAAAATAATAAATAAATAGATAAATAAATAAAAAAGGACAGGGGATGTAGCTCAGTGGTAGAGTGCCCCTGGATTCAGTCCCCAGTATCGGGGAAAAAATTAATCAAAGGATTATTGCAATTCTCTTAGTATATCATTTCACCTCTTGTGTTGCCTACCATGAGCTTTTTGGGGAACATTAAAGATCCAAACTGTAGCACAAAGTGAAACAGAATTACCGTCGGATCCACCACTGCACTCGTGGGTGGAA